AGATGATCACAGGACCATCCAGCATTGGGGTAAAAAAAATATGGTCAGCCTAAAATTTAATGTTCATTCTGGTCACATTAGACTGCACTACCTTTCTCTCAAAGGAGGACCCAACAGGTCACAGGGTTGTCAAGTGTGTGTGTGTGTGAAAATCCTTTTGTTCCAAATATCTGTGAAGAAACTAAAGTCTTTACTGCAAAGCAGTAGCAGCACGTTAAGGAATCCATCATTCTTCTGCTTTTGATGCCCAGATGTTACATAAACAGCATGACAATAAGCCATTTGTTGCAGCTTTCAGTTTCTTTGGTCCACTTGCAACTTCAAAAGGCTCAGGGAGAGGCATTCATAGAAAAGTTTAAAACAATATTTAATTGTAACAAGACTTGTGTGTTTTAGGCTGAAGGTACACCTGTATCAGGAGCAAATTTAAAAATTTGCAGAATGTGAACACAATAGAATACATGTCCTGTACATTTTGCCAAAAAGAGCCTGTACGTTGTAAACATATGCATGTTTAAGCATTGCTAAAATAATGTGTGAAAAGGAAGTTTGATGTGATCATACATATGAGTGCCACACATGGGGCTATTTTATTATACAAATAGCACTTCTAACCATCATTAATATGCAGAAGAAAATTCATATAAACTATTTTCAGAATTAATTTTAGATCATATCAAAATGTATCCAGAAAGTGAAAACTAGTATGGAACACACACACAAATTGATTCATTGCTAATACATTTATCATTACACGTTTTCTATTTATTTATTCATTTAGATTTAGATTTATCTATCACAAAGATCAATGGATTCTAGATGGTGTACAAAATTAAAACAGCATTAAAAATGCAACATAAAACCACATACACAAATATAGTTTCGCAATTCTTTTAAAGTGAAAAATTTTGAGCCACTCATCCTTGCAGCTGGACTGAAGGCAAAACTTAAGGCCAAAAATGTCAGTTGTCAAGATCAGAACCTTGGAGGGGAGGGAGGAGTCCCTCACTGCTGAATCTGATCTCATATAGAGCAGTGGGAAGAAATATCATTTGCCTTAATCTTCCCCAAACCTTAAGGCTTGATCTGGAATAAATAAGACATGAGCTGAAATGCAGTACTTAACTCTAGTTTTTGACCTCAAGAGCAGAATGCTGAATCCCACTTTTACAATAGCTACTCCTTGGAAGCCAAGATGGAAAAATGTGAGTTCTGCATCTTGGAAGAGAATGGCCTCGGGAACACATTTGCCGTGTGTTCGGCTACTGCAAAAGGTGTGGCCAGCAAGGTGTGGTAGTTTATGGATGTAAACCATAAATTGGCCGCTATCACTACTTCTAAAATAAATATAGAAAAGATTTAGACTGTGAAAACAGTATTTCAGATTGTGTATATCATCTGTATACAATTTTGCTCCTCCTCACGTTTGTATTTAAAGTTTGACACAGTCATTCTACTACTTGAAAGTTAATTAAGGGAAGTGGTGTGTAAAAATTATTGTGTCAGGTTTACATCCATAGCTTTTTCTCTTTGTTATTTGTTTTTGTTCTCAACTAATAATGTAATTCCCTGCTCCCCATAATTTTGCCTGCACAGCGTAGTCTCCGCTCAACTAATTAAGTTGTCTACAATGTTCATAGAGGCGTGATAATGATGCTCAAAAGGCAGCGCATGGGGCAGTTAGCCCTGCAAACAGACTCTTTGAAACATTGCAGTGGTTTTTTAACCCAATTTGAGTAGGAGTAGTCCTTAATTATTTTCCTTATCCTGAGAAAAGACAGGCTATTTGTCAGTGTTTAGAGGCTAGTCTTTTTCCATTTACTTTTAGAGAAAAATATATTTCCAGTCAAAAGCTGAGTAGAGTTCTAATCAAATGATGTTTTCTGACTCAGTTCCATTTCCATGGGTTGTTGGATAAGGGTGCTACATATCAGAGCCTCATTTATGCCGGAACTCTTGCTCACTGCTACTTGCATAATCCCAGAAACCTCATTTCATATTGAACTCCCTTCCTGCTACCACAAAAAAGAAATCTTTCCTTTCCTTATTACTGTTATTATTATTATAGTATAAAACAATTTTCAAAATAGAATACCTGGTTGAATTTCATTTTAATATGCTGTTTGTTTTTATGGCATTGTTTTATTGTCTTATTTATTAAATTGTAATTATAATGGTAAGCCTTATGGGATAGATATCAATGCTTTTATAAACAGCTATCTATGGAATAAAATATTTCTGTAATACATAAAATGGCATAATAGCAACTAATGTACTTTATCTATTCATGTTTGGCATTTGTATGAGTATAACCAAAGATTTCAAGATGACTTAATGTGCAAGCTACATACTTTTACCAGGTAATATGCCTCAATGAACTCAGTAAACAGACTGAACAGACCAATGCAAGATTCAGACATTTATTATAAAAGACCAAAGAAAGTCGAGATGTTGTATGGGTTCATCTCCAAGCTTGTGCGATAAATGATCTTGGGAAGTTTTCCATGCAAACTCCGAAAATTGTTTCATTTGATGCAGTTTCAGTCAAATCACCCGGATGAAGCAGATTTACAAACAGCACAATGTACAGCAAGCTGGATTGATGCCAAAATGACATGTTAGGCATGCAATGACATAATCATGCAAGTTTTGCCATTAAGTATAGAGTCCTGATGCAAATATGTCACTTACAGCATTTGTGTTATGACATCATCAGGCATGTATCATTATTTCTATCGGCCCCCACCACTTACTTCCTGTGCAGACACCCATGTTTGTAAATCAAAATGAAGATCCACCTCCTTGTAGTGAATGGAAATGAAGTCCTTTCACAAAGCTGTGTTTCAAATTGGATGGTTTTCCTGCTGTGTCTGGGGATGTTATGAAGGATGAACTATTTTGAATCCCCACTTCCATATATGGAGAATGCAGGTGTGGGATGGGGGGTGTAGTTTGCGGTGCTTGTTACTGTTTCCCACTTCAGAAATTATTATATAAATCGGCCTTTGGTAACTTTATTTGAGAGAGCAATGGCCAGATGCAAAACGAAAAACCAAACACAACAATACATCAATAAATGATGGAACACAGATGATGCATATGACAGAATTAATTCCAGAAATAAAAGTTCATATGCCCCACATCAAGCAATAAAAGCAAAAGAGTTTCTATGATCACCCCATGGATACCCCATGGGCAACCGAGAATATTTTTACAGCACTGTTGGTTGATGCATCAGGACATACAGTAACTGATCTGAACCTTCTAGGAGCTCAATAGCCACAATTGAGTGACAACTCCTTCAAAGAAAACAACAAAACTGAGCACAAAAGATCTAAATGAATGAGATGAATTGGTGAGCACGTTCTGAGTGAACATTCAAGTATGTTGATCGTTGTCAGGGTCAGATCTCATCTGAACAGTGATTCATGGAAGTGGTCTTAATAAACATAAGTTAACTTGTCAGCACTGCAGAATTAGTGTTAGCTTAGGAGGAATAGAAGCCTCAGTCAAAATTAAGGAAACTGACATATTTTAAAACAGTGTACATGTTGCAAGAACAGAATAATTCCTACAGTAAAAGAGAAGTGGTGCCTGAAATAGTTTTACCAGTTGCGAAGTCAGTTTTGTTCTGCACAAACATGCTTGTTTCTGTTTGTTCTTTATAAACTGGCAAGCTAACTTAGTTTATTTATAAACTGCTTATCGACCTTCCACTAATTTTTTTAGAGGAAGGGCTAGTCACCCAGCTGACTTCGGCTTGGGGTTATTCTAGGTTCTTCCTAGCCTGATGGGGCATTTGTTCTCTTGTTTCCTATTCAGTTATTAGGATCACATTTCATTAGTTTCTTGGATGAGAAATCTCCAAGTATTTGTATTAAATTCCTTTCTGAGATATCTTGGATTGTTAATATGAGTGAATTACAAGCGTTAGTTTACGCAGAGCCCATTTTTCATATTAATTTATATATTTTTTGCAATGCCAGGTATATTAAGAATGTACTGAGACCCAGTTTGGTCCTAGTTAAGGCACCAGGCTAGAACCTCAGAGTCTGGGAGTTCTAGTCCCACCTCAGGCACGAAGCCAGCTGGGAGACCCTGGGCCAGTCCCTCTCTCTCAGCCCTGGGAAGGAGGCAAGGGCAAGCCCCTTCCGAAAAACCTTGCCAAGAAAATTGCAAGGACTCACCCAGGCAATTGCCAGGAGACAATACGGACTTGAAAACACACACAAACAAACAAAAAACAAAACATGTAAACTATAAAAGGTTTCCTATTAAATGAATACGGTCTCTGTTGACTGTGGGAATTTTAATTTTAAAAATATAAAAAGAAAATACTGCCCAGGTGATTAAATCATGGGACTCAGAATGATACCTTTAAATGTGAGAAAGAAAATCCATTCTCATTCTTAAAATTGACATTCCGTGGAGTGGCTTCATGTGGACAAGGAGTACATCACTGTCAAACATTTTGAAGTCAAATGCCAAAAGTTCACTCAGAGCTATCGTAGTGCAGTGGTTAAGGTTAAGACTAGCATTCAGCCACAGAAGCTCCCTGGGCAACTTTGGATAAATGGCTCTCTCTCAACCAGCCCACCTCACAAGGTAGTTGTTGTGAGGAAAAATTGGAGGAGGGAGTGCTGGGTAAGCTGTCTTGACCTCTGATCAAAGTCGGGTTATAACAAGCAAAGAAACAAATTATCTCACTTTAAATCTTCCTTCTTTATTGTTATTTCTACAGGGCACATATAATCAGAATTAAGCATGTACCAAATCCACTAATTTCTTTGGAAACTTAAAATGATTTGTTTCTTGTTTTGCAGTTAAGACAGTGCAATCCTGTGCCTTCCTCTTTAACAGTAAGTCCGACTGAGTTCAGTGGGGCTTACTTCCTAGTAATTGTATATGGGATGACAGCTTCCATTATCTTAAATTTTGCTGGGTAAATAAGTAAATAATAAAAAAAAGTAAATAAAAGCACAAAGCAACTCAAGTTCAGGGAGCTGTATGAAAGAAAGACAAAATAAAAACAGTGTCTACTCTATAAAAATCCAGCTATGGATAGTACTTTTCATAGCTTCTTGCTCTTCTGTTGTAGCTGGTAGAACCTTTGACGCCCAGCGGCACAGCACCAAATCAGGCACAGCTTCGCATTTTGAAGGAAACTGAGCTAAAGCGTGTCAAGGTTCTTGGATCGGGGGCCTTTGGAACTGTGTATAAGGTATGTTTCCTTGACAGCATTATTTCACTCGTTGTTGCTAGGGACTTCTGGTTATCAGTAGGCCCCTTGAATAGAAGGATATCAACCTTCTTCTTTTCTAAGAAATGTTCAGCTTAGAACCTCCTTCTTTTCTTAGAAATGTTCAACTTACCATAAACCCTCTTGTTTCTTCTCGTAATCAACTGAGCGGCCACTAAGAAGCTAGGAATGGTTGGCAAGAGTTGGAGGACTGAGCGTTGTGCAACCGGCCCTACTGGTGCCTAAACTAGGTTGTACCTTCAAGACTGCTGTCCCACTGCCAGTCTGAAAATGTGCTGGTATGGTCAGATTGTGGTCAAAGAGGTCTATTTTATTATTTCTTGAGACATGCTCTTGTTCACTTTTTCATCACTTTTCAGGGCGTTTGGGTTCCTGAGGGAGAGAGTGTGAAGATTCCTGTAGCAATTAAAATATTGAATGAAACAACTGGTCCAAAGGCTAATGTGGAGTTCATGGATGTAAGTAATAGATGTCCCATTTCAGTGATATGTGTGTATGTTATTGATAATTTAAAGGAGGGGAGGGGAATTATTTGTCTGCTTCTTGCAATTTACAAGCTCTAAACTTCTATATGATGATAAAAGCAACGTTTCCACACCAAAAAACAAAACAAAACCCTGAATAAATTATACATAGACAGCTAGCCAACCACTATGGCATTCTGGATCCAGATTCTGTTGTTTTCTTCTTCTTTTCTTTTTTCTTCATGAAAATATCAATTTCATCTGAATCTGAATCTGAATTTGATGCTGAACTCAGGCCTACCTTTTCAGCATCCTTAAATCACCTGAGGCTCCCACCGCATCTTGCCAACCATTTGTCCAACAGAGGCGCAGCAGAGACATTCCCTGCAGCTGATTGCTTCTTCATTTGAGGATCTGTGCAGTGGAATATTAATTCTAGGGATGCCTGCAGGATGTGTTCAGTCAAGTGAGTAGCTGTGATGGTGCAGCTGAACTTCCACCCATTTTTTAATGTATAAAGCTCTACTTGTTTTTTTTACATGCATCAGCCACAGTTGCACTGTTGTGGCTGCCATCTTGATTTTTTCACCACAGCCCGTGGACACCTCTGATTGCAACAGTACACAAAGAAACACCATCAGAACAAAGCAGGAGCTCTTTGAAATCACACTGCCTTGAGAATGCAATATCCCCTATACATACAAACCACACATTTACAGCCCCTTTATATTTTGTATTTATCAATAAGTATCATTTGTCTTTTGGGAGAAGGTTCACCCCAGCCAGTTGCTAACTCTTCTAGATTGTTTTAAGCACCAATTCAGACTCGGAAACAATTTCCTTCATCGTTATCAGGTTTTCTGTTCTAAAACATTGTGCACCAAACATAATAAAAAGTGGTATACGGTGACACATTTGTCATATTAGTTTATTTTTATTTATTTTATTTATATCCTGTTTTCTCAAAAATATGCTGAAGAAGGGTAAATGTAAGATACAACTAAAATAGCTGTAAGAATAAAAATGTATTTGCCTGCTAGCAGAAAAGAAAAAAAAATGCAGGGAATGATTGATTGATATATTTTCCAATAAACATTGCTGGAAAAAAAGTCACTGTTCCTTCAAAACAATTGGTAAATTTAAAATGTGGCTGTTTTTCTCAGATAGAAAGAACCATGTATTAATGGATGGAAACTTTGAATGCCTTAGAAATGGTAATAACAATCAACATTTATTAGATAGTAAGGATAGTTGGATTGGCTCTGATGAGATTTAACAATTCAGATTGATTTGACTCAAATTTCTGAATCATTGTTTAAAGGCTTTTGAACATGCACAATTGATTTGAAGACATTCAGTTTAATTCAACTTGAATCACTGATCTGATTCAGAAAGTTGATTTGATTCAGAGGTTCAACTGAATCACCTTTCAGACGAATCTCCAAATCACATCTTTGCACAACCCTGTTAGATATTTCCCCAAACATGAGATTATCAAGAACCATTATTAAACCTGATTATTTATCTTTTAAAAAACAATGTATGTGTGGGTTTCCAGTTTACAAACTGAACTATGAAAGTGACTTATAAATGAAACAGTTGAAAATAAGCACACCCAACACAATCAAAATTAATTCTAAGCAACACTACAGGAAAAGAAAAGGATGGGGGGGGGGAAGGGAAAGGAAACCCCAAAAAAGGTAAGCAGTAAATAGGCTTGCTGGAATAAGTATAACCAGCATGTTGCTTTAGGCTTGGATTGGGAGTTTTACTTTGTGTAACAATGGAGTTCACATGTTTCAGAAAATAGATATCCCTGTGATATTCTGCCAGTAATGGGCAGATCTTTTGGACTTTAGTAAGGTAGACTTACTAAATGTATGCTTAAGAATGTTAACTTAGTGGCATTTGCCTGTTTCTGCAACAGAATAAGATTCCATACTGCTGCCACTCATTCTGTGCTCCAGCAGTTCTCCTTTCCTCCTGGACAGAGTAGCCCAGCCACTCTTTTCTGTCTTCTGATAACTTCTAGTTTTGATTACCATGACAAGCTGTAAGTATGGTCTCCATGGGAAGACCTTTTGGAAACATGTTGCTAATTGAGAGTGAATGATGGAAACAGACTTCAAGTAACCCACTTCTGAATGCAGTTCAACATACTGATGCTTGCCTTAAAATTTTAAATAACTTGGAGCCTGATTTCTTGAAGGATTGTCTTCTTGAAAAAGAATCTGCTTACTTTGATGAGAGCTGTGGGGGCCAGGGGGTCATGGGAATGGGGTATCCCTATGCTATAGCTCTTCTGTGATAAAGTTTGCATATTCAATCAGGGCTGTTCCAGTAGCCACTTGACAATCTGTTTGATACAACCTTTTCTTTAAAGATGGACATAGGCATGTATTGGATTGCTTATAATCACAAAAAGAGAGCTCTGCCACAAACAGGCAAAATGAAGCCTGTACTACTGTCATGTTGTCCCTTGGGCAAAAAGCTAGCTTTTGGGGTAAGAATGGCTCTTGACTGCTTTTAAAAATTCTATCTTTGGCCTGTGTGTTTCAGGTAGTTACTAGTCTCGAATTTAAGGAGTGTGTGGCTGCATATTCTTTTTGCCACAAAGATAGATTATTTTGAACTCAGCTGTTGTCTTTTGAAGGTATATGGAATGAGTAAAATGCCATGTGATATGGTGAGTGTTTTATTCTGACTCATGCATAAATGTCTATTTTAGCGTAACCCATTAGAGTGATAGTACAAAAGATATGCAAGTGGAATGCCTGCTTTCTGTGGAAGACCAAGAGATTAGCAGTAGGAGCCTTGGCTTTCTCTTCACTCTCTGAATGATGGCAAAAAGAAAAGGGAAGTGAAGAGTGCTTTTTGTGATCAGTTGTGCCCTTAAATGTTGCACTGCTAGAGGAGAATAGGCCACAGCAATTTGGCAACTCAGCTGTCATTTCAGAGCCCTTGAACACTTTCTAATGTACTCGTAATGACTATAATGACATAATGCACCTTGTAAGTAGATGATGTGGGCAGCCCCTACCTATATTGATCACAACAGGAAACAGGGAAGTGAATAGCGAAGAAAATCCCTATGCTTGAATGGTGACTTTTTCCCCTATTGCAGCAAATTGTCTTTCTCATTTGTCTTTCTCAGAGGTTCTTTTCCTCTCCTTCATCTTTGCTTTGCTTTGCTGATATGATAGAAATCTTATAAGGATTTTATGGAACTGAAATCCATAAAGTCACAAAGTCCCCTGAACCAGACTTATCATTACTCTCAGTTACATGGCCTCCGCTTTGTATGTGTCATGAAAGTGGGTAGGAAACTTGGATAATTTAATTTGCTCCTACTGTAAGTCTACTGCCAGGAAGAAGGCCTGTGTGGATTTTATTTTATTTTATTTTATTTTATTTT